AGGGGGCCCTGCAAGCCCACGAACGACGTGTCCTAGATGTATGGCGTGCGTGGGAATCGGTCGCTGGGTAACGTATACGTCAAAAAAGTCTGTTGCCCAGGTATCGCTACAGAGAAGCGCAAGAAAGAGAAAGAAGAGAAGAAAGCCTCAAAGGAAGATGCACAGCAGGCGCAGGAGGAGCAAGAAGAAGAGCAGGCTGAGCAAGACTGGCCAGAGGACTGCATGGAAGAGGAAGAAGAGGTAGAAGAGCCTGCCCCGAAGAAGCCACGCACTAGCTAGGTTTTGTTTCCACGCGTGTGTGCAACGCGCGCGTATGTGTGAATGGGTTGCGCATCGACTGCAGGGCGCAGGCAGACGCAGACTCTATAGCTTGTAATAACACACGACACCTTTGAAGCTGTGTGCTTGCCTGCTTAGATTGCAGTCGCCAGTGCGAGTCTACACTTTCGACGTTTCACATATCATGGGGGGGGAGAAGCACGGACGCGCTTGCAGGAAGAACAAGATTTGGAACTGCTGATGCTGAACTCTCATGCTATTTTGTCCATGCAGGGATCATGCGACACACAGTGCTCACGCGCAGGCTCGTCATGGAAGCCTGCATGTGTGTGCCCATAACCTTTTCAACACTCCTTTGAAACCCTATAGGTTTTAAAGCCTTAGACCCACCCTGAACCCTAAGACGTCGACGGATAGAGGTAGTGCCGACTGAAAAACCTTTTGTTTCAAAGTCCTTCAAACCTTTTCTTTCAAAGTCCCTCAACTGACCGAACCGAGCTTCGATCTCCATGTGGTTCCGCTGGCTGTTCTCGGTCCTGATCTCGGTGATGGCATCTGGGCCTCTGTCAGAGGGACAGTGGATCACTTCGTATATCGACAACACTGTCAACGACGTGTTGACTTGCTTGTCTCGAGGGGATGTGCCTCGGACTTCGAAACGCAATTACAGATATAGGAAAAAATGTGTTTAGGGTTGCGCGGGGAACGGGGAAAAGCAGGTCTCGATGCCACAATTGAACTCGGCACTATGCCTGGGCCTTATACACAGCTCACAATCCATGAACTGCTCAATGTGTTTCCCCGCGCGATGGCCTGTGCTAAGTTCGTCTCTTGGAACTGCCCGAAAGACTCGTTCCGTGCCTCGGCTGGGCTTCAAGCCATTTAACTCACAGCTGTGGATATGTATGGTTGTTTGGTCTAGGGTCTCCCCTAAACCAACCCTAACCCCTATACCTGCAGACGCCCAACAATAGATCCCCTTCAGGCGTACGCATGACCCAGTAATGGTAATTATAGGGTACTGTATTGGGGCACTATGTTTTGGATCCTTTCAAGGGTTTGGCTAAACCTTATTCCTATAAACCCTAAACCCCTGCCCCATAGAACCCAACCTTAAAACCCTAATCATAAAACCGGAACCAACCCACAACTACACCGCAGGGGGTGGGTGGGGGGGGGGGGGGGTGTACCATCCTGTGCTCTAGGCCCGATCTGCTGGATTTGGCGCGGCGAATCCACCATCCTGTGCTCTAGGCCCGATCTGCTGGATTTGGCGCGGCGAATCCACAGGAAGAAAGATGCATGGGGCGCCATGCACGTTCTAGAAAGTTGGGCCCTCAAACAACCGTGGAGAAACTTGGTTTTCATCACATCCAATTCTTGGGAAGCTATCTATTGCTTACAGAAAAAATAGTCGTCTACCCGAATCCGAACCTACCCCGCCTTGCCCAGGACAAGTCCTTCCACACCCGCACAGGATGAGCGTACCATATGCTGGGTTCCTGGATATCAATTCCAGCTATAGTAGTGAAGACTAGACTCTTGCCCGAGGTGAATCTGGACACGCGTGGGAACGCGGAGCGCGGATGGATGCAGCATGATGTGTTCCTCCCACACGAAATAGTGGGGTCGATATGGAGATTTGATCAAGATCTATTTCACTCGATTTTCGGGCAGCCCCATGCCACCTACCTTAATTGGCGATAGATGCATGTTCTGATCGCATGTAACTTATAAAAAGAAGCGCCCAGGCGATTCAGCAATACTGCGACCACATGCGCGCGCATTGCTGGGACTGGTGGTCTCAGCACCCTGCTTCTAGGCGGCGTTTTGTTTATGCCACTAAACAGTTTGGGGGGATTTTCGGAGTTGAAAGGGTTTAGGGTTTAGGGTATTGCTTGCTGGTCCCAGCTGATGCTCAGAGCCTGGGTTCAAAATGGGTTTCGGGTTTGGAGCTTAGGGTTTAGGGTCATAAGGTTTAGGGTCTGGGTTCAAAAACAGGGTTTATAAGTTGTAGGGTTCAGGGCTTATGGTTTAGGGTATAGGTTTATGTGGTTTATAGGGTTTAGGGTGGTTGAAAGGGATCTGCCTGCACGCGAGGCTCTCGGGCAGAATGTCGCTGGAATGGTGGTGCCTGTGAGGCTGTATGGTGATGGAGCAGAATCGTATCGAGACGTGTCTGCATATTTTTACCGCTGGGCCGCTCTCTCTCGCTCTCTCTTTCTTTGTTTGCTTGGGGACCCTACACCTTTAAACCCCAAAAGCCCGAACAATCCCGTGCCCCGACCTTAACCCTGCAGCCCTGCAGGCACCCAAACTTTTGAGATCTTTCTGCTCCAGTCGATGCTAGGAGATTCGGCGTCGTGTTGGGATACACGGTTTCTGTTACATGGCGAAGTCTTTCTGCAAAGTAGATTCTGTTAATGTTTCAGGATAACGTCTGGCTAAGGGTTTGCCGGAAATCCTTGAAGCCCAGGTTAAGCTGCATGTCTGGAAAATGCACTGCAGCAGCCAGAACACTGGTGATGGAGATGCTGGCATGGTCGCTCGAGGTGCTCAGCGCCTTGGATTGCCAGGTGCTTCGATTTTAGATACGTCTAAACCCTTTTGACCCCGCGAGCTCTGCCGGGTTTCCCACACACGTCTAAACCCTAAACCCTAAACCCTAAACCCTAAACCCTAAACCCTAAACCCTAAACCCTAAACCCTAAACCCTAAACCCCCGAGAATTCCTAGGTACAGGAACCTATCCTTCGAAGGATAAATATGGGCAGCCGCTGCAAGGATGGAGATTAACGCTTGCTGGCCAAAGGATATGTGGACCGTACACTGTAATTTTGGACGCCTACCAGATGGACCAAGAGTTTATCACGAAATGCTTTCGTCTGCAACGCTCCTGAGATTCAAAGCGTAAGCTGGAGTGTTCGAGTACTTTTGTAATGAGGTTTGGGTACCATATGCTGAGGCAATTACACTCGCAAGATGGTGTGTCACTACTGTCAGGCCAGGTTTCTGCGATTCATGCGTTGACTATACAGTTTCGAACATTATAGTCGAACAACTCTGCGCACGAGGCCTTGCAATGGATTCTACTGCACCCAGCTCCAAGCGACCCTGAACCCAATGATGCGAATCTCTTATTCACATGCTTCGGCCGTGAGGCAAGGCACCGCCAAACGCTCTTCGTCATGCAGTCCATGGCGAGCCATCAACCCAAAACCGCCTTAAACCCAATACGCTGCACTTCCTAAACTTAACCCATATACTCTCCACCCTAAATCTCTACAAGCCTTAAGATGACTAAGGTTGACCAGCACAGATGAGTTTTTCACTGCTCATGGTCATTCTCCTTTTGCTGATCTCCCGGGCTTTGCTCCTTGGAGTGCCTTGGGCTGACTCGAGTGTTTGAATTCCGGGTGAACAGTTATACAACCCCGCGTGTAAGGAACTCTCCCCGATTACATGCACATAGTGCATCTAGCATGCACGGGAGATGTGGTGACCTCATTGCTCTATGATTTGACGGATCATGAGTGGCCGTGGCCGGGCACATCTCGAGATGCACGGCTTGCGAATGCTTGGTACGACTACAAGGCATATTGCCAACTGTGGTCCGTTCCAGACCGGTGTGAACGGAAAGTGTTCACAAATGAAGCTCTTCGTGCGGATTTCGCAACCCTTTCCCAAAAGTTCATGCGTGCAGCAGCTGCGCGGTACATAGTGTTCTGGCTGCAGTATCTGATGGATTCGCTGCTGCAAGACATGAATGATCCGGATGAGCATCTCGTGCGCCTTGGAGCTACGTAGGAAAAAAGCTTGCAGGCCTTGTGTTTTCACCGGGTATATGCTGGTTTAGATAGATTTGAAGGTGGGCTCTGGGCTTCAAATTTTGGTGCGTGTTCGGGGTGAAATTTAAAAACCTTAAACCTTAAACTGGGGGAGGGGGCGGGGCCGAGTCGGCCCAATTAAGGTGGATGCGTGGTGTTTGTACCGGCCTTGCTGAACTGGAATCTGTGCAGCTAGAGAATGGCCGCTACCTGAACGATGGCTCATGTCGACGACTGGAGCAGGCGTACTATTTGTACAGAGCGTGCTACGACAGGCTCGCATCCCGCAGCCAGTATCTGGGCCGTGCACGCTGGAAGGTCAGACCCAAGCAACACCAACTAGAACATGCGATCTACGATTTTGCCTGCGCCAACCATACAAATCCGCGGTATGATGCCAACTACATGGGAGAAGACGCGGTGCGTCGCTCGAAGTTGATGGCGGTGGCAAGCCATCCACAGTACGTTAGTAGGCATGTGCTCCTGAAGTATGCCTTGCAGGTCTCACTCAAGTATCGCACGGGCAGCGCGCAGTGAAGTGTAAAACGTCGCTTATAAGCCATGCAGCGTGCCACCCTCGACGCTTCCGCGCGTAAACCCCAACTCCTAAAATTAAGTTTAAACCCTATACTCTATAAACCCTAAAGCCTTTTTGGCTCAATTGTCACTGATATGTTTTCGCTTTTTGCTTTTTTAATTTGTTTACAAATATTTTTGCTTGCTCTGCTTGCTCTGCATTATTTTACTTTTGCCCCTGTGTGTGCAGGATCGTCGCTATAACGCGAACTGTTCTTATACAAACAATTGTTGTTATGTATGCGGTCGAAACGGCCGTGCTGGTCGCGGGACGGCAAATGCCTTTTGTGCAACGCGTACCTTACCGACGCGCACCTTATGACCGAGAATCACTGCAAGCGGATGCGGCGCCACGTGGCGGACAATCCGGGCCTGGCTCCCGGGTCGCGAGGTAAGAAGGCGGAGGCAGCCCGTAGGCAGGAGGAAGGGAAAACCGGCCCGTCATCTGGTGCCGAGTGGAAGCCAACCCTGAGTCCACTTCCGCGACGACCCGATCCCACTGAGGAAGAAGCTCGGGCCTTGGTGGCGGCGCAGGTGACGTCTAGCAATCTCGCTCAGGACCTGGCGGCCTTGATGCGGATAGAAGCCGCAATTACCCGTCCGCCTAGCGAGGACCCGCCGGAAGAAGTCAAAGGGGAGGAGCCAGGGGGCCTTTCCGTTGAAGGCGTCAGGGATGTCAAGGAGGAGAAACCCGAGGGCCGTTTCGGCCCCGGGGAGGAATCCTCCGGGTCAACTAGACGACTTGTCCCGAAAAGCGGAGTGAAGATCAACGCGCCCAAGGTTGGCCTCCTGAAAGCTATCGCCTCCGCGGATACCAAGTCTTGGGAGGGACTCCAACGAGCCCTTGAGAGCTCTCCAGGAACCGGAACCGTGAAGTCGCAACTCGTGCAAGATTTGGAGCGAATCGCCGGGCAAAGGAAGAGCGCATCCCAAGCCGTCACCGCGGAAGTGTTCAAACAGGCGCAGAGGGTGAAGGAGCTCGAGGAAAGGGATACGGAGTATTTAAAGGCCCTGGACGAGCAAGGGGACCAAATGCGTCGCCTTGAACAGGCGAATCCAGTAAAACCCTCCCTCACGGCCAAGCCCCTGCGCTCCGCCCGCTTGGACGCAGCGATCGCGGCCGGAACGCCAATATGGGTGGCTCGTAAGCAAGAGAAGAGCAGACGTCGGGCCCAGCTCCACCGCGCGGAACAGACCGCAGCACTGGCTGGGGAAAGGATTGCCAACGAACCCGAGCCCGGGGAGCCGACGCCGGAGGCTCTAGACGAACGGATGCAAGAGTCCGCGCGCGAGAGTCTTCGGGACTTCCAGAGGCAGCTCGAGAAGTCCGACCCAAAACCGCCCGCAAAGCGCGCGCCTGACTCCCAGCGGCACAAGAAAATTAAGAAACAGCGCCGAAGGGAGCGAGACTACAGGAGGAAGCACGACGACGCGGACCGAGATTCGAACCACGCCATTGCGCACGTCGCAGAACAAGGTCCTTCCGAAGGGCAGTGTCGTCTCCCCCCCGAGGACCGTTTCGGTCCCGGGGACAGTACTGAGCTTGCTCTGACCAGCTTTCCCTTCCTGGCGAAGGAACCGAAGCTGCCCATGCGAGACTTCAAAAACCCGACCAGGCAGAGGCGAGAGCTGTCCCGCACACCGCTCGATCAGCACGGACCGAAGAGCCAGGCGGCCCCGGCAGTTCTGTTCCGACCCCGGGAGGGGCCGACCGTTGTCTGTGTGACTCCCAAGGGGTCGACCTACCATTCTCAGACGTGCCCGCGTATCTTGTCTCACGAGAGGAAAACAATGCAACCATGCGCCGTGTGCCGACCTGACCAGGTTATGCCGGACCCCTACAGCGACGACGCTCAAGCCCCCTTCCTGGGGAGGGCAAAGGTCTCGATTTGGCTTCAGGACCCACACTTCCACTCTCCTTCCTGCGCCCTCGTTCGCCCCGTGTCCGGCTGGCGCAGCCGTGTAGGGATTGCGGGCCCGAAAGGGACTTCAGGTACTACCCCCAGCTCCCTCGCCGAAACGACGATGCTCAGAGAGACAACAACCATGCAATAGCGCATGTCGGGCTGCCAGAGATTGGCATGGGGCTTATCCTTAGCCTCTGCCTCGCCTGCATGATCTTCCAGGCTTGTGCCCAATCCCTCATGCTTCCTGCCGAGGACCCCGAGGAACGTTTCGTTCCCGGGGGCCTGAATCGGCGCGTCGGAGAAATCGGGGCAAAGCGGGTGACGTTCTCTGATCTAGAGACAAAACAGGCCGCTTTTTCGGATGCGTTAGAAGGAAGGGCAAGGCAAAGCCCGGAGGTGGAACCTCTTGCCAAGCCGGGTCGCATTCCAGGGAGGCTTCCCTTCTTGGGAGGACCAGCGACGGCCAAGCGGCTAGGAAGCGGCAAGCCCGCGCAGCTCCGACTGGCCCTCCGGTCTCGGTCTGACTTTGAAACTGAAGCACTCCGAGTCTCCCTGGACCGTTTGGCTGAGACCACACGCAAGGCCTACATTGGGCAATTAAGGTGGTGGCAAATCTTTTGCGCCAGGAGGAAAGTGTCATGGCTGCTCACCGGGGCGAATCCGCAGGAATAAGAAGACGCCATCATCGACTTCATTCTGCATTCGGCCGTGAACGGAGGACGAGCGCCTGGAACAGTGAAAACCAGGTTAGCCGCGCTAAAATCCGCCCACGTGTCGATTGGCCTTCGTGACCCACTCGAGGGCAAGCCAAGGATCCAACTGGCCCTCGCGGGACTCAAAAAGAGATACCAGTTTCCTAAAAGACGGGCACCGGTCACGCCGCAACTCCTGCAGTGGATCCGAGAGGAGATGGAACGTGCCATCCTCCTGGATCGTCAAGTTCTGTGGCTGGCCTTGTGCCTTGGGTATTTCTTCCTCCTCCGAGCGTCCGAATTTTTGCCCGTAGGGTATCTCCCTAGTTCCCGCCACCTGAGAGGCTGCGATGTCCTGCTGAAGTTGCAGGGCAAGGTGTGCAACCTCAGTCAGATCCGAAACGCGGACGAAGTCGTGGTACATATCCGCGGGAGTAAGACCGACAAATATAATCGCGGGTCGGTCCGGAATCATTTTAAAGGGTCCGGGGTTTTGTGCCCCGTTTTGGCGGCGCAGGAATACTTCCTGACTTTTCCGGACCGTTTCCTTGGTGGTGGAGAGGACGAGAGACCCATTATGCGGTATTCGAACGGAGCGGAAGTAGCCCGCGAGACGCTCCAGGACCTTATCAAACGGGCTGCGCTACATTTCGGTCAAACTGACCAGATAGGGGCGCACTCGCTACGATTCGGAGGAGCATCGGCTTTATGGTCGGCATACCACAACGCAGACCAGCTCAAGCGGTATGGGCGTTGGACATCTGATGTCTTTCATGAGTATATCTGGGATGCTCGCTCAGCCGCGAAAGGCGTAGCAGAAGCTATGGCAACGGCTGACCTCATGCCGACCTGAATACGAAAGACCGAGTGTTGTTTCAGCGCCGGTCGATCGTAATCGCAGTTTTGTACGACTTGTTTTCTCCCTACCCGAGGACTGCTTCAGTCCCGGGTGTAGTGAGGGGGGGGGTGAGCCCAAAAGGGCAAACAACCTTGCAGTGCCCTGCGCGCAAAAAGATCTGCGCACTCGTGCTTCACGTGAGTAGCAAACCGTAGCGTGAAACCTGTTTAGCATAGCTTGCATGCGTAGGGTTTCACCTGTGTACGGTTTGCGTTAGGCTCAAGCGTAGAGGTAGCTGTACAGAGTTTTTTAGGTCCCGCCCGCCCGCCCCCGAGCCCAAAAGGGCAAACAACCTTGCAGTGCCCTGCGCGCAAAAAGATCTGCGCACTCGTGCTTCACGTGAGTAGCAAACCGTAGCGTGAAACCCTCCAGACTGGGCCCCATCCTGCAACCCTTGCGGCACGAGGGTACCTTTTAGACGCATTGCGCAGCAGGGGGTTCAGGGTGTTTCCGCAAAACCCACCAACCTTAGCACTACATCCACCCTGAGGCCCTAAGTCCCCCAAAGCCCCAACAAACCCCCTGAAGCCCCTAACCCTAAACCCCTAAGCCCCACAAAGCCCTAAACCCTAAACCCCTAGGCCCCAAAAGCCCTAAATCCTAAACCCCTGACCCCTAAGCCCCAAAAGCCCTAAACCCTAAACCCCTAACCCCTAAACCCAAACAGCCCTAAACCCCCAAGTCTCAACCTCTTCCGGTCCTAGGCACGTTGGTTGGCCCTGTCGACCTGCCCATCAGCCAAGTCCGGCCAGCAATGCTTATTCCCTTCCGCCCGTCCGCCCCTGAGTTCTGGCTAAGGGGAGTTTCAGGGGTTTAGGGTTCTTGGGGTTCTTGGGGTCAGAGGGGTTATAGGGGTTATAGGTATCATTGGGGCCTATAGGGTTCTAGCGGCTATAGGAGGGTTGCCACTGGGGCTTAAAGGATTAGAGGGCTTCTGGGGCTTCAAGGGTTACATGGGTTTGGGGGAGGGAACTTGGGCAGCTGCTGGGGGGGGGGCCCCAAACCCTAAACCCTAAACCCTAATTCCTGTGGGTCATCTTAGGCTGGCAATTTTTTTAGATGCTTTTAGGGGGGGGCCTGAAGCTGCACCGCCCACAGCTTCCCGGACGAAGCCCTACTTTCTCAGGAGTTGTGCTCCCGAAGCCCTTTAAGCGCTGAAGCTGTTAGGGTTTAGGGTTTAGGGTCTAGGGTCTCGGGTTTAGGATTTAGGGTTGTTTAGAGTTTAGGGTTTCGGGTAAGTTTAGACCCTAAACCCTACACCTTCAAGCTCCGGGGGTGTCTTCTGAGGCGCCAGCTTCTCGAGCACATTCTCTTTGGCAGGCCAAGGCGAACTTGGCGAGGACGCGTCTGCATCTTTTAGGGTTTAGGGTTTAGGGCTTTGGGCTTTGGGCTTTGGGTTTAGGGTGTTGGGCTTTCGGTTTTGGGATTTTGGTTTTGGGATTTTGGGTTTTGGGTTTTGGGTTTTGGAGTACTATATTGTTTGGTTCTGGCTTCCTATTCTAGCTACTTGTACCTAAACGTTACGTAACAGTACAATATACCTTTTCCAGGGTCTACTCCAAAGTAGGGTTGTGGCCCTCAGCCTTGGGGACGACGTGAACCGCTATAAGAGGCTTCCGGTCCACCCTAAACCCTAAACCCTAAGCCCTGAACCTTAAACCCGAAACCCTAAACCCTACATCCTAAACCCTAACCCTCAAACTTAACCCCAAGACCCAAACTGGCATGATTTATCGCAGTATTTGGGCACAACATTTTCCGTTTCTAGGAGAACTGACAGCCTCACAACAAAGCACTCACAGCCCTTAGTAACCCAAACTGGTGGGTCCCATCAAGTGATTCGGACAGAGGCAAGATCCATCTTGCCCCCCCAGATCCTGAAAGAAATAGCTGTGCGCAAGCCCTCCAACCCTAAACCCTAACCCTAAGCTTATAGACCCTAAACCCTAAACCCCAAATCCCAAACCCCGAACCCCGAACCCCAAACCCCAAACCCCAGACCCCAGACCCTAAACCCAACCCAAAGGCCTGCACCCCAATCGCCCTAACAGCCTAAAGGCTTCCTCCTCCAGTAAGCCCTGAAACGCCTTAGCAAGCTCAAGGCTTGCGTGGGCATTCTTGGTGTCTAGGGTTTAGGGTTTAGGGCTTCGAAACCCTGACTAAGCCCTCAACCCCTGTAAAGCCTGCATAGAACGCGAGAACCTCAAGACCCAGAGGACTAAACCCTAAACCCGAAACCCTGCCTAGAACGCAAGAACCACAAGACCTCAAACCCTGCAAGGAGAGCAGCTTCGAGGCAGCGTTGGCTGTGGAGGATTCTTAGAGCGCAAAGGGAGATGTGGGTTAGGGGATCAGTAGTTCGGGGTTTGGGGTTTAGGGTGTAAGGAAATTCGGATTAGGGGTTTAGGGGTCTATAGAGTTTCGGGGTGTAGGGATGAGGGGCTTAAAGGGTTTGAAAGGGCTCAAGAGGGATCAGCTTAGGTTGCGGTCTTGAGGTGTGGGGCTTTCATGGTTGAGGGTTCGGACTTGAGGAGACCTTGTTGTTGTTTTGTTTGTTTTTGGGGGGGGGATGGGGGAGCTCATTGCTTTAGCTTGAGAGCTTCTGACTAATTACCGTAATTCCCCTTATGGTTCCATTTACATCAATAGTATGTTTCCTCCAAACTCACCACACAGGAAATACACTAAGCCCAGGTATACTGTATGCCTGAAGCCAAGAGGCTTGGAATCGGATCTGAAGGTTTAGGGTGTAGGGTTTAGGGTTTAGGGTTTAGGGTTTAGGGTTTAGGGTGGTGTTGGGCTTAGGGTGTATAGGGTTTATGGCTTACGGGCTTAGGGCTTAGGGTTTCGGTGGTCAGCACCCAGGCCCCCGGACAGTACGGCGTACGGTGTAGAGCAGGGTATAGTTGGGCTTAGGAATTCCAAGAAATTCGGAAATCCTGGCCACTCGGCGACATCCGGTGCTTTTGCGACCGGTGCCGCCAGCTCTGGTACCCCATGCTGAGGTGTCCGAAGTGTCTGGGCAACAGATGCAACCAGGGGCACACCTGCCAACTGTTCACAAAGTTTCTGGGGATTTTCCTCCGTGCTGCGAACCACAAGACTTTCATTTACAGAATCGTCCAACTCCGGGCACATGGTGCCTCGGAAGAGAAAGCCTTGAGCGAAGCCAAGGCAGAGTGCGAGGAGTCCAAGGAAAAGCAAGCCACCAAGTAGAACTTGGGGAAACTTCATGAGGAAGCCCAACGAGCACAGAGGCAAGCATAATTCCATCGCGTTCTCGCTCGCCGAGTTGCTGCGGCCAAGGTGCTTGTTTCCATAAATTGTCTGGGGTCTTAGCTGTGGAAAAACCTTGTTTTTTGGGTGAGATTTTTGGTATGTGATGTGAGCCCTGGGTCCTGAGCCCCCCGGCCCAAGCCACGTTAAGGGTTTAGGGTTGAGGGTTTAGGATTTAGGGTTTAGGGATTAACGCCCTAAACCCTGGCGCAGGAGACGCGCCATGCGGCCCTCGTCCAAGATGTGGATGACGACGTCGGCGTGCTCTCTCCGGCTCTCTGCCTCGGATCGCCATTTGAGTTCAGGGTTTAGGCTCTTTAGGCTTTAGGTTTGCCTAAGCCTCCCAAAGTACCCTCAAGATACCCTACAAAAGCCCACATTCAGGTGCACTTGCGGCCATTGTCCAAATAGGGTTCGGGGGTACGGTCAGTTCTGCTTCAGCACCCTCTGAATCAGACGCAAGGTTCCGAAGCCACAAGTAAATCCCGAACCCCCCAAACCAAAAAGTCAGAACCAAAAGTCTAAACTCCAAAATCTTGACAGGTTTAGGGTGGGTTGAAGTTCTCTTGCCCCTTTGAAGCGATTTTTCTGCCAAAGAACCCAAGCAAAGGCCCCAATTTCGGACAAGCCCTTTTGAGGTTTTGGAGGGGGGGGGGGGTTGTTGTGTCGGGTTTAGATAGAGAATAATTTAGCGTTTATAAACTTACTTTTTTGGACTTAGGATGCCAACAATGTGAGGTTTAGGGTGTAGGGTTTAGGGTTTACAAGGTATAGGGCATGAGTCATGTTGGTCAACACATTTTGCATGCTGTCAGTTCATAGAGAGGACTATAGACGAGGATGCCCAGTAGTTCCCTCATTCCTTTTTGTTTTTCTGGGGGGGGGGGGGTGGTTTCCCTTATAAACCCCTTATCAACCGCTTTAAACATGAAAAGGGCACCCTTTTTCATCCTACTAGTTTACTGACTGGGCAACCAGGTAGGGAGGTTTGACGACGTCTAGCTCATGCCTTAAGTGCGTGCAGCCTTTGGACGGGAAGTCGAATAAACCCTAAACCCTAAACCCTAAACCCTAAACCCTAAACCCTAAACCCTAAACCCCCCTAATTCCTACACCTAAACAACCCAACCTCAGCGGCAGGTCTAATGCTTGGGTGTCCAGGGCGCAGGGCTGCGGAACCCCCAAATTAGCATGAGGTGCACCCAAACCCTGCTTGGAGGTTCATGGTACTTATTAGGCAATTTTAGTAATAACTATACTTAGAACTGTACTTCTAGCCATATTAGGGCACTTAAGTCAGAAGTACCATGAACCTCCGAGTACACTCCAAAAACCAACATATAAAGCCCCCCCCAAACCTTCGGACCCTGGGCCCTAAAACGTAATCACAAATACACCCCAAGACGCTTACCCCCCCCCCCCCCCCCCCCACCCCCCCCCGACCCCCCCCCCACCCCCCCCCCCCCCCCCCCCCAAACCTTAAAACCCTAAAACCCTAAACCCTTACCCAAAGCCCCAAACCCTAAACTCTAACCCTAAACCCTAAACCCTTAACCGCCGAGGGCTTCGGCTTCTTCGACACCACTTTCCAAGGCTGGCCAAAGTTGCTCCTCAAGGACGCAGCCTTGTTCTCCTTCCAGGCGAAGGCGGCGACTGTAGGGTTTAGGGTTTAGGTGTAGGGTTTAGTTTAGGGTTTAGGGCTTTAGTTTAGGGTTTAGGGTTCAGGTGGAACAGTGTTCTTTCTTTGCTGTTTCCGTGAGCTGGGGCTCTTAGGGTTAGAGGTTTGTTTTTTTTTGTTTTTCCTCGAGGGGGAGGAGGGCTTGGGGTTTGGGGTTTAGGGTTTAAGGGTAGGGTGGGGGCGGGGCGGCCCGCAACAGTCCACCCTAGATAGGGATTTGGGGATGAGGGTTTCGGGTTTAGGGCTCAGAGCTTCGGGGGTGCTGGGGGTTTAGGGTTCAGGGTTCAGGGTTTAGGGGGACGGGCTTTCCCGAGGCTGTTCGATGGTCATTGCCCCTTGTTTTGAACAACTTTTCCCTTGTAGGCCTCAATAAGCCAATGAGAAGGACTCCTGTTTTTTAGCCTGCAATAAGGATGGAACTCTATATATCCTGAGGCCCAAACGACATATGACGCCAAAACCCTACAACCTAAAGTTCATAACCGAAGACCTTAAAACCCCAACCACCAAACCCGAAACATCGCCGGGTCGGGCGACTGGTGTTGGTCCGGGCCCCTATCCCCAAAGCTGCCCCCACCCCCCCCCCCCAAAGAAAAAAAAATCAAACATGGAAAAAGCAAAGCACGAATGTCAAGAACAACACTATTCACAAATACATCAGCAAGAATGAACCAATCACGCAAGAACCCTAAGCTTAAACCCTAAACCTTAAACCCTAAGCCTTAAACCGTAAACCCTAAACCCTAAATCCTAAACCCTAAACCCTAATTGCGTCGGCCTCCAGCACCTAGACTTTCAGCGCCGCACAGCGCGCAGCACAAATTCCAGGGGAGTGTTCAGGTCGGCAATTGGGGTCGAGCGGAATGCGGTTCAGGGTTTAGGGTCTTGGGGGGGATTTGGGGGGGTTTAGGGTTTAGGGTTTGGGGTTTAGGGTTTGGGGTTTCGGGTTTAGGGTTTAGGGTTGGGGGTTGAGGGTTTAGGGGTTGAGGGTTTAGGGCATTGCGTCCGGGAACGCCGCTGTCTTGCAGGGAGATGTCTGGCAGATGCGGGGCCTGGTCATCTCGGAGGATGACACGGTGCGGCCGTGCTGCGGGTTTGGGGTTTCGGGTTTAGGGTTTAGGGTTTAGGGTTTAGGGTTTAGGGTTTAGGGTTTAGGGTTAGGGTTTAGGGTTTAGGCTTTAGGGTTTAGGCTTTAGGGTTTAGGCTTTAGGGTTTAGCAACATAAACCCTACATACATAAACCTATACACCCCACGTTTTAGTGAACCCTAAACCCAAAACGTTGTATACATGATCAGGCCTTTGCTGTGCAGGGCCAAGACTGATGTGCTGTAAAAGGGCTGTAGAATCTTCAATGCTCCGATCCTTGCTCGAGATCAGAGCTTCCATGTAAATCCTAGGTAGGACAAGGGGCCCTTGAAAGGGAACCCTTCTTCACCCTCTTCTTCTGGCTCTCTTCAACAGGGGCCTTATTCAGAGGGTTCTATATCCCCGAGGGTCCCCCTAATCCTATCCCCTATGAAAGAGGGGCCGTAAGTCGTATGACGATGGCAAAGCACCGACGGTGTCCGACGCCCAGACCATGGAATGCCCATGGAGGTGCCAGAGATTCAACGGCGTGTGGCCTCTGGCGAGTGGTGTTCGGATCCCGCCTAAGGGGACCAAGGCACACACACACACACACACTGGTTGCGTCCACCCAAATTAGACGAACATGACCAAGAAAGCGCGCTTCCTGAACAACTTGCAGAAATATGAAGAAAATCTACTTGGAGGTTCATGGTGCTTATTAGCCATTTCTAACTGTACTTATAGCCATATTGGGGCACTTAATGGGGCTTATAAGTGGGTCATAAGTACAGCTATCATTGTTCAATATGTACGATGAACCTCCAAGTATTCCGAAATCCTACCAGCTCCGGACGGACATCGATAACTTCGACTCTATTTCGTGCGCGGGGGGGGGGGGGGTTAGTGTGAAGCTCCAGAACCCTGAACCTTAAATCCCACAGCCTTAACGCCCTACCCCAACCCTCCAAGAGAGCCCTCAACCCCTCATCGAGATTTCGGGTTTTAAGGTTTAGGGTTTAGGCTCCCTAATTACACCCAAGCCACAAGCCCTGTCAACAACCCCCAAGCCCCTAACTCCGTAAAGCGTGAAACTCATCAAGCCTAGCTTAGCATACAGCCCTTCTAACCCATATAACTCGTGTGCTTTTAAAAGGACGTAGTGGTTCTTGTGACTGTTCGTATAAGGGGGAACATCCCTAAACCCGAAACCCTAAGCCGCTAGGGTTTAGGGTTTAGGGTGTAGGGTTTAGGGTTTAGGGTTTAGGGTTTAGGGTTTAGGGTTTAGGGTTTAGGGCTCAGTTTAGTGTAGGCCTCCAGGTTGGGGGTTGCGGGTTGTAGAATTTTGGAGTTTGGGGTATTGAGTCGAAAAGAAGATCAGTTGCCCAAAGAAAAGAATTCCCATCTGGGCTCCAGGTAGATTCATACTTGGAGGTTCATGGTACTAGCTAACCAACCATAGCTGTACTTATAGTTGTACGTATAAACTGGACTTATAACAACATTAGGGCACTTCAGGGGCTAAGAAGTGGGGAATAAGTACAGTTCTAATTGGTTAAGAAGTGCCCCTAAGCCCTAAACCCTAAACCCTAAGCCCTATAAGTACCGCTCTAATTGGGGGATTGTGAGGTGCCTTTGACGCTAAACGTAACCCTTACACCCTAAACCCTAAACCCTAAACCACATAAATCCTAAACTTCTTGGGGCCTTCCGGGGAGGCGGGGGGCAGGTCAGAAGGATTCAGAGGTTCCGAAGGTCCGAAGTTTTCATTGCTTTAGAGGGCTCAACAAGAGAGTGACCCTAATGCAGCCCTCCCCCCTCCCCCGCCCCCAATAAACAGCAATCCTAAACCCTAAACCCTAAACCCCAAACCCCAAACCCCAAACCCTAAACCCTAAACCCCAAACCCCTTGCAGCCTTCCGGCAGGGAGTGGAGTTCTTCTCCTACGACCCTTCTCCCAGAAGCGAGCTGAACGTCACCTTTGAGACCCCAGAAGTCCCTCCCAGTGCCGCCACAAGCATCCTCGCAGCTTGGATTGGCGTGTTTGTTTGCCTTTAGGGTTTAGGGTTTAGGGTTTAGGGTTTAGGGTTTAGGGTTTCGGGTTTAGGGTTTACAGCTTCGTTGGGTTTGGGGTTTGGGGATTAGGGATTAGGGTTTAGGGCAGACAAAGCGCACTGAAGATGGAACTCTGAGCGCTCCGCACCATATGTATTTCCATTAGAGTCTATAAGACAGTGTAGATCTTGTAGGGTTGCACGGTTTACATAGGGCTTATCGGGTATATGGGATATGTAGGGCTTTGGGGGCACACAGGGTTTAAGGCTTGTAGAGCTTACATAGGGTTGGTAAGGTTTGTAAGGCTTACAGGTCTTTTGCGGCTTAGAGGGATCAGGGTTTGTCTTGAAGGTTTCATGCTCTGCAAGCCCTACCAAGTCTAGACCATACTGTCCCTCTTGCATCTGCCCAGCTCTCTAAATTATGGTTTAAGGTTTTGGGGAGTCTAAACCCCGAACCCTGAACCCTGCCAAGGTATGAGGTCTGCGCTGTCCGTGCCGTGAACCTCGTGCAAGAAAAGGCCTCACGCCCATAGTGCGGATTTGGCAAGCCGCCCTAAGCCCTAAACCCCCAAGCCCTTAACATCTTATCCGCTACCCGCTTTTGGAGGGGTAAGTTGAGGGTTTAGCTGGGTTTCTTAGGGTTTAGGATGTTTAGGATGTTTAGGGTTTAGGGTGCCAAATTAAAGTCCTTGACGACCTTTCTCAAGCATGGACGTACACGGAGCAAAACTGTGGCGACGTCACATCGTTCGGGTACCAAAACCATGGCTCACAAAAGGGTTTAGGGTTTAGGGTTTAGGGTTCAGTGCTCTTATTTTCCCGGCAGCCACTTCCTCGCACAGGCGCCTGACCCTGACCGCGTTCCGTTTTAGTTGTCGCGCAGGCCCATGCTGTGAGAGCGGGGTTTGTAGCGAGGGACGGCTTCGCGTGCGCTGATGGTTGCTCAGCGCACGAGCTGCTGTCCAGGGGCTCTATGGCTTCATAAGACTTTAAGTTTAGGGTTTAGGGTTAGGGTTTAGGGTTTGGGGTTTAGGGTTTAGGGTTTAGGGTCTATGGCTTCATAAGGGGCAATAGCAAGAAGAGTGATCGTACTCATAGTAGCAATCATAGTTGCAGTAGCAAGCAGCCGTTGATTGGGTACTCGGAAAGAGGGCTGTCAAGGATTGCAGGCTAAGCCGAGGCGAACTCCTAAACTCTAAGCCCTAAATCCTAAACCACCCTACACCCTAAACCCTAAACCCTAAACCCTAAACCCTAAACCCTAAACCCTAAACCCTAAAAACCCTAAACCCTAAACCCTAAACCCTAAACCCTAAACCCTAAACCCTAAACCCTAAACCCTAAACCCTAAACCCTAAACCCTAAACCCTAAACCCTAAACCCTAAACCCTAAACCCTAAACCCTAAACCCTAACCTAAGCCTAAATCCCTTTAACCAGGGTTCAATATGCCTCCTGCTGGGCATGCGATGAACCCCATCCACAGCGATGGATTGAAACGTGCCTAAGGCACTCCTTATTGCGGGGCAGGCTGCAGCCACCCTTCTTGTGATCCTAAACCCTAAACCCTAAACCCGAAACCCTAAACCCTAAACCCTAAACCCTAAACCCTAAACCCAGCAGTCCTTAACAGGATTATAATAGGAGTATTGCAATCCCAGTAGAACGGGGAACATTCCAAGGGTTTAAGCTTTAGGGCCGCTAGGGTGTCCATTTAATTTGTTGTTCGTGCTGCCCGCGGAAGTAGGATTGGCGCAGTATTTTCGAGCAAGACACCGCCTTACCTCCTATAAAGGGTTCTGATGCATGGGCTCCTGGGTTGTGTAGGGTTTAGGGTTTAGGGTTTGGGGTTTAGGGTTTAGGGTTTAGGGTTTGGGGTTTGGGGTTTGGGGTTTGGGGTTTAGGGTTTCGGGGTGGGGGGTACATAAGGGGTCCCCTTTAGACGCCCACATTAAGGGATGTAACTAGCCTTCAGGAAGGCTTGCGGCTCCCTGCACCGATTGCTCGAGGGAGCAACGGACCATGGTAGTCATCGTTTGTGGGCTAAGGTAGTTCTCATCGCAGTCATGCAATCTGAAGAACGTTCGCCCAAAGCGAACCAGACCGGCCCATACCCCAAGCTCTAAGCCCATACCCCAAACTCTAAGCCCAAAGCCCTAGACCCATCTCCCAATCCCCAAACCCTAAATCCCACACCCTGGGTCCCAAGTTCATGCGAAAGGCCTTAGCCTACTCACCCCAAAGCCCGTAAGCCCCAGGTCAACAAGCCCTAAACTCAAATCTCTCCAAGCCTTAGATGGTTTAGGGTTTAGGGTCTTGGGTTTAGGGTTTAGGGTTTAGGGTTTCAGGGCTTCAACCCTGCCCCGAACCCTCAATCTCAAGACCCTCCGCCACTAGACTCTTTTAGCCGTAAACCCTAACCCTGCATTCCACAGCTTGTTAGGGTTTAGGGTTTCGGGTTTAGGGTCTATAGGGTTTAGGGTTTAGAGATTATGGTTGCCATGACTGCGACGGCTGCCGGAATGCCTGCGGGGTATTTATGCGAAAAGTCTTGAACAACTGCCAGCATTCCTCCAAACCGGTAGCCCTAAATCTTAAATCCTAAAACCTAACCCTACACCCTAAACCCTAAGCCCTAAACCCTAAGCCTTAGGCCCTAAACCTAAGCCCTCTACGTTGTAAGTTTTGAAGTCCATGTCCAAGCCAACTAAAGCCCCATAAGCCCTGCATCCCAAACCAAAAACGCCGACACTTCCAAGACCCCAAAACTCCCTAAACCCTTAAACCCTAAACCCTAAACCCTAAACCCTAGCCCTTCAGGGTCGGGGGTTTAGGGGCCTGGTTTACGGCTTAGCGGCTTGACCGCCTTAGGCGTTCGGAGTTTTTTGTTATTTTTGGGTTTAGGGTTTAGGGTTTAGGGCTTAGGGTTTAGGGTTTAGGGTTGTGAATCTAGGGTTTAAGGTTAAGGGCTTAGGGTTCGGGTTTAGGGTTTAGGACTTGCACCTTAGAAACCCTGAGTGAAACGCATACATATGATAGGACTCTGCCTCACAACCCTGAGGTTGTACCATAGGGGGGTAGGGGGGTTAGGGTTGAGGGTTGAGGGTTCAGGGTTTAGGGTTTAGGTTTTGGGGGCCCTTTTTAAAGAGCCTCTAACGGAACATAGGGCCAGACAAGGTGAATCTTAGGGGCACGACCTTCGGGGTACGAGTCTTGAGCCCTTGAACATACTGTAAGTGCAAGCCCTAAGCCCTAAACCCTAAACCCTAAACCCTTTTAAACCCTAAACCCTAAGCCCTAAACCCTAAGCCCTGAGCCCTAAACCCTTCATTGAAGTTCGGAAAACACCACCAACCCAAGGCTGAGGTGTTTAGGGTTTAGGGTTTAGGGTTTAGGGTGTGTCAGGGGAGGGCGCGCGCTCGGGTTTGAAACACCCCGGGCCGCGCGCTCGCGTTGCCCGTCAACCCACCCCGGCCATCCACACTCTACTCTATTAGGGTTTAGGGTTTATGAATTTATTTTCTTGTGCCCCGATGCTTGCTTTTATGTGTTTAAAGTTGCGGTGTTAGGGTTTAAGCTGGGGTTGGGGGTAGCCTCGGCCCTTTTCGGGCCTTCGGCGTGTCAGGGCCCGTAGAGGCCCTTTTATTTGAAGGTCCGGGAAACCCTTTGTGCCGGCTCCTGGATTCCCCTTCTTCAAGGGCCTCAAGCCTTTTTGGTGGCTCTGGGGGCTTCCTGGGGGCTTTCCTGGCCCTTCTGGGGTAAAATGAAGGGGTGCCCAAAACTCGTTCTTCGTACAAAAAAATGACATCTGTCCTTGCGGGCACGGGCAAATCCTGGGGCCCCAAGCCTCTTAAGCCCTGAGCGTCCGGCTAAAGAAAAGAGGTCCACCAGCTAAACCCTAAACCCTAAACCCTAAACCCTAAACCGTGGAGCGCCTTGGAGTCCCAAGTCGCGGGAGTTTGGTTTGCAAGGGAGGTAACGGCGAGGGGGGGCCAGGGCCTTGAGCCTTGGCCCGGAGGCCCTTGGCCAGGCCCGCCCCCTTTTTAGGGGGTCTTTTTGAAAGCCTCTTGCAGGCTTGTTTGATGGCCCAAAATCCTGCTTGTGCTCGGACCCCACTAGGTTCGGGGGGCCCACGCCCTGGTTCGGGGGGTCCCTAACCCACGCCCAGGGGGGCTAGACAAACCCTGAACCCAAAACCCACCAGGGGCCAGGGGCCGTCGTAAGGAAGGCCGATGTCCGTTGGCCTGTGCAGGACAGACGGTGGCTTAACCCTCACCTTTCCGTTTCTCTTTTCGTTTGGGCACTCAACCTGTAATGCCCTTGGGCCGAGCGTTCGGGGTCTGTCGCTCGACGGAAGCGGCCCCTCACTTAGTTTAGGGGGTTTAGGGTTCAGTGTTGTTTGTTCCATCCTTTTTTGTGCTAGGTTGGGTGGTTCAGCAGAAGAATCTTCCCGAGATCTTCCACTCAACCCTAAGCCCTGAAACGTAAACCCTAAACCCTTAACGGCCCTAAACCCAAAACCCTAATCCCTGACCCCAAACCCTAAACCCTACAAGTGCCTGGCCCTGAGTCTGCTCGCTTGCGTTCAGCCGTTTGGCTTTCGCCAGGAAACATGAGTCAGGCGGTCGCAAGTGTAAGACGGGTTCCATTTTGGGGGTTCAGGGTTTAGGGTGTAGGGTTTATAAGTTTAGGGTTTAGGGTTAGGGCTTTGACTTCCTAAAACTTTAGATCCTTCATCGAAACGACCTAGGTAAGCCCAAACCTTTCCCGAGTCCTCTGCCGCCAAATATACCCTAAAGCCTCGAGCCCGAACCGCCCTAAACCCTAAACCCTAAACCCTAAACCCTAAACCCTAAACCCTAAACCCTAAACCCTAAACCCTAAACCCTAAACCCTAAACCCTAAACCCTAAACCCTAAACCCTACGAAGCCCCTACTTCGATGTTTCAAGGGTAGTTCTAACGGTTGCATCTATACCTTGGGATGTTCCCCCTTGTACTAACAGTACTTAGTAGGGATTCTAGTACCCCTGCAATCCCTATTAAGGACTGCTAGTATAAGGGGGAACATCCCAATCTATAACTTATAGCTGGTTATGGATTTAGGGCTTGGCTTTGGTGGGTGGGGTTCCTAAGCCATGAACCCTAAACCTCAAGCCCTACAATCCCTAAAGCCCAACAGACAGGTTAAAAGGCTTTCGCAGTTTAGGGGGCGTGGCAAAGACCATAAATGCTACGCCCTAAACCCCAAACTTTTAAACTAAACCCTAAACCCTAAACCCTAAACCCTAAACCCTAAACCCTTGGAGGGCTTTGAGCGCCAATGTGGCCGCCATGGGAAGCTGGGCTCGAAGCCTTTGGCTGCTGCGCCTGTGCCTCCCGCAGGAGCCTGGGGTTTAGGGTTTAGGGTTTAGGGTTTAGGGTTTAGGGTTTAGGGTTTAGGGTTTAGGGTTTAGAGGGTTGGGTATACAGGTTTTGGGCTTTGTGGTTTAGGGGTTGTAAGGCCCCGAGACTCGGAACCCTACATTCCTAAACCCAAGAATGTCCAAAGGGTTTAGTGTTCAGGGTTTAGGGTTTAGGGTTTAGGGCTTAGGGCTTAGGGCTTAGGGCTTAGGGTTTAGGGTTTAGGGTACCCTAAGGACCTTGCTACCCTCCAGCAAACCCTAATCCTAAGCCCGAAAGCTGTGGACCTCTAAACCCTAGTACCCCCAAGCCCGAAAACCCCAAACCCCAAAGACCCTAAAACCCCTTACCCCCCCCCCCCCCCCACCCTCCCCGCCCCCGCAAAGAAAAAAACACAAAAACTGCAGTTTAAACCCATGGACCCTAATACACCCCAAACCCAAACCCCCCAAAAACCCTAGAACCCCTAAGCCCTAAACCCTAAACCCTAAACCCCAAAAGCCCTATAACCCTAAACCCTAAACCCTAGAACCCCTAAGCCCTAAACCCTAAACCCTAAACCCCAAAAAGCCCTAAGTCCCTAAGCCCCAAACACCAAGCAGGCCGGCTCTCAGCCTGCTTTCCGAAACAGGCCACCCTGGGTTTCACCGGCTTTCTGGGCTTGGGTTTAGGGTGTAGGGATTAGGGTTTAGGGTTTAGGGTTTAGGGTTAGAGAGTCGTGGAAGGTTGGGCTTTAGGTTTACTGTAGTTCATTCGTTGGGCATTCAGGGGTTTCCGGGGTGTAGGGTTTCGGTGGATTTGGGGGAAGGGTTTGCGGAGGTTTTGGGGCCTCAGGATTCCTAAACCCTAAACCCTAAACCCTAAACCCTAAACCCTAAACACTAAACCCTAAACCCTAAACCCTAAACCCTAAACCCCTTTGAGTTTGAAGATCCCTGAGTATGCTCAGTGGCCCCATGTGAGATGAAAGGTTACGAGGAAGGTTCTAAAACGCTGCAGACCCTAAACTCCCTAGAAGCCTAAACCCCGAAGCTTTGAGTATAGATCTACATTATGCCATACATACAATCATGTGTTGTTGTTAGTCTTTTTCTTTGGGGCGGCGGGGGGGGGGGGGGGGGTAGGGTCCAGGGGTTTTAGAGTCTCAGTGTTTGGGGCTCTGGGGTTTTAGTGCTATTTGTTCTCTGCACGACCTGGATGCCCGGCTGCCCCAAGACCCAACTTTCGACTAGACACCCTCAAGGTTTGGGGGTTTAGGGTTTAGGGTCTAGGGTTTAGGGTCTCAGGCAACGCCTCCCGCCCGAAGCCCTAGAATCACTAAGGTCGGCAGTGCAAAACATGAGCAGCATGCTCGAGGAGGACTTTGCTTTCCAGCGCCAAGGCGGTGCGGGTGGCTGGGCGCTATTCAGTCGGCGAGCTTTCCGCCAGACTTGTGGATGTTTTCGGGATGTCACCCCCTTATACTAGCCGTCCTTAATAGGGAGTATAGTAGCCCCTATTAACTATTATTCTCCTTATTAAGGACTGTTCATAAAAGGGGGTAGAAGGGGGGGACATCCCAATTTAGTTTAGTTTTTAGTTTCTGGCATCAGCAACAGTCAGCACTTATGGGGTCCCAGGTTCGAATCATTATGGCTATTTTGGGATAGTTAAGCCTGACTAAGGTTATTTAAGGGGGGGGGTAGTATAGGGGACCCCATGTAGCGCCGGTCTTCGAGCCCCCCACGATCAATCGCTTCTGTGAGAACAGGTGTGCCTTGTTGGGTGCTCAGAGTTCAGGATCCCCCTAAACCCTAAACCTTAAACCCCAAAGAAACCCTTGCACTCCAAACCGGGTTTAACCATGGAGGGTGTATCGTCTATAAGACCTAAGCCCTGAAACTCTCACACCCGAATTCCCAAACACCCTATAAACCCTGAACCCTAAACCTTAAACCTTGTACCCTAAACCCTAGACCCTAGACCCTAAACCCTAACCCTAAACCCTAAACCCGAAACCCTAAACCCTAAACCCTACACCCTAAACCCTAAACCCTAAACCCTAAACCCTAATGTTTTTTTCGGTTGAGGAGAGGATGCCCCAGGATTCTGGAGGCCGACCTGCTCAGCCGTTTCCTGTCCGGTCGCTTGGCGCAGGGCTGAACCCTAAACCCTAACCCCGGGGGGTGTAAGGGTTTAGGGTTTAGGGTTTAGGGTTTAGGGTTTAGGGTTTAGGGTTCAGGGTTTAGGGTTTAGGATTTGGGGTTTAGGGTTTAGGGTTTGGGGTTTAGGATTTGGGGTTTAGGGTTTAGGGTTTGGGGTTTAGGGTTTGGGGTTAGGGCTTAGGTTTTCTATAGGGCTGCGATTGGTGGGTGTAGCTGTGCTTCCTTGCAAATATGGGTAAGTGTATGTATGGGGGCGGGGGTCCTTTTGGGAATATAGAACACAATGCCAAAAACTGCTTGTTGGAGGGGGGGGGGGAGATGTGCCCCTAAACGCGAAGCCCTCAGATACTCACCGTGGCTTTTGGTGCGTCGTCCTGTCCTAACCCTTCAAGAACCCCTCCCCCACCCCCCCGCCCCACCCGAGAGAGAGCAGCAAACACATGAAGCCCTAAAGCATTTCTAGGTGCCACCAGCAAATCCCCGAACAGCCCTGCAACCCTACACCCTACACCCTAAACCCTAAACCCTAAACCCTAAGCTTTTAGAGGACTGTTGGGCGGTTCGTCGCCCATCCTTGGCGCCCTGGGGAAGCGACGCGAACGAGGCCGGGTGAAATTTGAGGGTTTAGGGTTTTAGGGTTAAGGGTTGAGTAGGTGAACTGCACGAAACCCTGAATCCTAGACCATAAACCCCCTCCCTACGGGATATTCTTCCACCAGCAAACTCAGCCGCGGATCCCCGGAATTCTGTCTACGGGCTGCGTAGGGTAGAGGGTTCAGAATTAGGGTTTAGGGTTAAGAGAGTGAAATCTGATTGGGGTTTCTGAAAATCGGGGGCACCCTCTTTGGGGCTCTGGGCATAAGAGTTGCTTTTTGGGGTATATTCAGGGGTGTTTCTGTGAGGTTGGGTTTGAGAGCAGAGGTTGATGTGATGCTGTGGGGGGTGGGGGGGAGGGGCTCGCGTTGTGGCCGGAAGGCACATTGATGACTCTACTTGAAGCTGAAACTGGGGTCGGATGAAGGTCGGGACCTTTCTACTTAAAAACTGCCCTGGAGCCTTCATGTAAGGATGCTAGTTCAGGATGCTTCGTGCGAACGACCATAATATCCATGGTCCATGGTAGACAAGGCTTTAGGGCTTCGGGGTATTGGGCGGGGAGCGGCTGAAAACCCGTGCAAGGATGGCGCCTCACTTGCAGGGTGCGTGTGATCACCCACGGGCGCCCAAGCCATCACCTATGCTGTGGATTCAAATTCTCCCCGCAACTTGAGAACCGAAGATTTTGGGTTTAGGGCTTAGGGTTGAGCGCTTATCAAGTTGGGTCGGAGGTTGGGGAATGTCATATGTCTGTCTCTGTCAGGGCCTCTCCAGGAGTCACCAGCTCCGTCTTGCAGAGGCTTTCAGTAAGGGGAGGGTTTAGGGTTTAGGGTTTAGGGTTTAGGGTTTAGGGCTTAGGGCTTAGGGCTTAGGGCTTAGGGCTTAGGGTTTAGGGTTTAGGGTTTAGGGTTTAGCTTAGGGAAGGACAATTTGGCATTTGGGGTTCAAGTTGTTTAGGGTTTTGGTGCTCTTCGTTGGTTTAAGAACAGTCCCCCGGCAGGCGACCTGCTGCCAGTGCAGGGAGGCGAACATGGTGCAGGACGACCGTAGCACCAGAAGCGCCTACCCCAAAGCCCCTTAAACCCCTGAAACCCTAAACCCTTTAAACCCTAAACCCTAATGAAACCCTAAACCCTAAACCCTAAACCCTTAACCCTTAACCCTTAACCCTTTAAACCCTAAACCCTAATGAAACCCTAAGCCCCTGACCCTTCAGCCCTGAAATGCAACGCACTTTGGCCCGGCACTCAACCCTCAACCGCTTTGTAGGACCATGGGCCGTCGAACCGTACAAAACCCTAAACCCCCAAACCCCAAACCCCAAACCCTAAAAGCCCCAAACCCTAAACCCCTAAAACCCCTAAATCCCTAAACTCTAAGCCCCAAAACCCCTAAGCCCCAAAACCCTAAACACCCAAACCCTAAACCCTAAACCCTAAACCCTAAACCCTAAACCCTAAACCCCCAAACACTCAACCCTAAACCCCAAACCCTAAACCCTAAACCCCTAAGTCCTAAAAACCTGGCAAAGGAGATCATGGCAGCTCCGCTGTTGTCGTGTGTTCCCTGCCCCGCTGGGCACCAGCCAAGCACGAACCGATCGGCATGCGACCGCGACATCATGGCAGGGGTTTAGGGTTTTGGGGTTTTGGGGTTTAGGGTTTGGGGTTTAGGGGTTTTTGGGTTTTGGGGTTTTAGGGTTTTGGGGGTTTAGGGTTTAGGGCTTAGGGTTTAGGGTTTAATTAGGGTTTAGGGTTTAGGACGTAGGGCTCAGGACTTAGGACTCATAGCTGAAGGGGATTTCTGCGGATCATGGTTGATGGGTATAGGGTTGGCCGGCTTGTGGAGCTTAGGGTTTAGTTTAGGGTTTAGGGTTTAGGGCTACCAAGTCTAGACAATGAACCCTAAACCCTGGGGTTTAGGGTTTAGGTTTTATAGGGTTTAGGGTTTAGGGTTTAGGGTTTAAGGTGTAACCCTCCGTCCTCAACCCTCAACTTTGCTGAGGCGATGCCTGTCGCACCGGCCGGGCCGCGCCAAATGGCTCTGCGACACTCGGGGGGGGTTTAGGGTTTAGGGTTTAGGTTTTAGATGAACTTGTGTATGTGGGGTCCTGAAAATAGGGGTACCTTTCTTGGGGTTCCTTTATAAGGATCATATCAAATTGTACCGTATGTTGGGGTAAACAAGGGCAACCCTTTTTTTTTTTCTCGGAAATCCCCAAGTTGGTATGAGTCCTGATCCGCTTTATAGAGTTTAGGGTTTCGGGTTGAATCCTAAACCCTTAACCCTCAACCCTGTAGCAACCTCATCTTTTCGGGCCTGCAAGATCCCGCCCCCGAGGACATGCCAGCCCTGTCTGGCCAACTACGTGCCTAGTGCCTTGGAGTGGAACCCTAAACCCTAAACCCTAAACCCTAAACCCTAAACCCTAAACCCTAAACCCTAAACCCTAAACCCTAAACCCTAAACCCTAAACCCTAAACCCTAAACCCTAAATCCTGGAGTGGATCAGCATGAGCCCGAAAACTGGCTTTGTGGTTTTGGGTGTGGGGGTTAGGGTTAGGGCTTTTTTGGGGGTTTTAAGGGCTTAATTAAGGGTTTAGGCTTTACAGATTTTTGGGTTTTTGGGGTTAGGGTTGGGGCTTTTTTGGGGTTTTAAGGGCTTAAGGGTTTAGGCTTTGCAGATTTTTGGGCTTGTGGGGTTAGTTTGTTTGGGTCTTATGATTTAGGGTTTAGGGCGCTAGTTTTGCGGGTTTAGTGTTTCGGGTTTAGGTAACCCTAAACCCTAAACCCTAAACCCTAAACCCTCCTAAAACGGCTAACAGTATGGGGTCTAGCTTCGACAAGGGTGGGCTCCCGCTCTTGGGGTCTATGGACCACAAGCCCATTTTAGCCACTTTGTGGTACTTTACTGTAACTTTAGATCTTTACTTTTTTTTTTTTTTGTTTATTGGGTTTCTTAATTAAGGCCGCTAGAATTTTTAATTTTTCAGCTACCCTCCTAAATGCAGCCAAGGTCACAGGAAGCCCAGCCCCTCCTTTTTGGGATGTTCCCCCCTCATTCTAGCAGTCCTTGGATGGCATGATAAGCAGGGGATACTAGAACTTCTATTCAGGACTGTTCGTATAGGGGGAACATCCCAACCCTAAACCCTTAACCCTAAACCCTAAACCCGGCAAAGGTGAGGACCGGGGCTCCTGCGTGCAGTGCCCTCTGAAGCATGGCGCGGTTGTGGGAAAGATGTTGGCTTGATTTGGCTGGGGCAAGCTGCCGATCTGGGTGTGTAGGGTCTAGGGTCTAGGGTCTAGGGTTTAGGGTTTAGGGTTTAGGGTTTAGGGTTTAGGGTTTAGGGCATAGGAGTATGCATTTGTGCGCCTGGTGCTCTAAGGAACATGTATTCCTTCGCCGGCGATGTGGTGTGCAGGTCCTGCAAGTTCCCTTTCATCTTCTTGAACGGAGGCTGCATCTGGTGGCACTGGTTGCTGATAGCTCTCGGGCTCGCAGTGCCTCAACTGCTCTTGAGTGGATAACCTTTGACTTGTATGTTGGTTACCATGATCCCCCTGAAGAACCGCACCCCCCCCCCCTACACCTGGGACAAGAATTGCTGTTTATCCAAATCCTATTTGAAGGGCTCTTGATATTAGAGGTATTTACGATTATAAAAGTTCATATGAAAATGGAGAGATGTTTAATGGATTTCTTAACACCCCCCCCCCCCAACCCCTAAACCATGTGTGTATATACATATATATATATATGTATGTATGTATGTATGTTATATATATATATACACACCCCTAAACCCCTCGAGAAGCGCCAAAAACCCTAAACCCTAAACCCAGGCCCGAACAAGCTAAAAAGTCAGGTACTGCTATGCCTGGTTCGGACCACTATTAAAACCCTAAACCCTAAACCCTAAACCCTAAACCCTAAAAGTCAGGTACTCCTCTGCCTGGTTCGGACCACGATGGCCTCCTATCAGAAACGCCGGAAGCGTCAACTCATCGCTCGGCAAGCCAAGGCCCTCCTTGCAGTTTCAGTGTTAGGGTTTAGGGTTTAGGGTTTAGGGCTTAGGGCTTAGGGCTTAGGGCTTAGGGCTTAGGGCTTAGGGTTTAGGGTTTAGGGTTAAAGGGTATATGGTGCAGAAGCTGTGAAGGTTGGGATGCAGACCCTAAATGCCCTCAACCCCAAACCCTAAACGCCCTGGACCCGACACCCCTAACCCCAAACCCCAAACGCCAAACCCCAAACCCCAAACCCCAAACCCTAAACCCTAAACCCTAAACCCTAAACCCTAGAAGAGGTAGAATCCATCATGGGCGGCTTGGAGTGGGAACTCTGGGACGAGCGCACGGACACGGTGACGAGGAACCTGGGCGATGAAAGTCCGACCATTTACGGTTTGGGGTTTAGGGTTTAGGGTTTGGTGTTTAGGGTTTGGGGTTTGGGGTTAAGGGTGTGGGGTTTAGGGTTTGGGGGATAGGGTTTAGGCCTAGGGTTTGGGGTTTGGGGTTTAAGGTTTAGGGTTTTTTGGTTTGGGGTTTGGGGCTTGGGAATCAGCAGTTAGGGTTTTGGATTTCGGCACCATAAAGTTGGGGTTCATAGGGCTGGTCGCTTGGGGCTCAAAAGGGCTTATTTTTTTCCTCCCTGAAGGTACATCGCTATCCTCGAGTCTTTGGACGTGGGCGCTGTGGAGGTGGAGTTTAGGGTTTGAGGGCTTCAGGTTTTTTGGGGGTTTTCGGGCCTTGGGGTCTTTAGGGTTTTGGGGTTTCAGGAACCCTTCTTGCGTGGGGGAGGTTTAGGGTTCTCAGGAGCTTTGAGTTCCGGGTCTAGGGTTTAGGGTTTAGGGCTTGAGTTTCAGAGTGTAGGATTGGTCGACGTCGGGACCACGTGCCCAATGTTTTTCATCCCTGGAAGTTCTCAGCCGCAAGGCACCCTACTTCAAACCCTAACCACTACCTTACTGTATACCCTAAACCCTAAATCGTAAACCCTTAAACCCCTAAACCCTAAACACTAAAAGCCGCAACCCCTATACCCTACCATCATAACCCCGACGTCCCGGCGCTTGCCTAAGCCAGTTGCGCAGTTAGTGCTTCTCTAAAATAGTTTCCCTCTCAGGGTCCCTGTATAGTAGGCATGATCCCTAAAAGGAGGTAAACCCTAAGGCTAAGCCCTCAACCCTAAGCCCTAAGCCTTAAACCCTAAGCCCTAAACCTTAAACCCTAAGCCCAAAAACCGTGAAGACGAATGTCCCATGGGGCAGGAGTTCGTGCGGAGCGAAAGCCCACCCTAAATCCTAAAACTCCCAAACCCTAGAACCCCCTCAACCTCAACCCCACGAGCATTAAACTCCCTAAACCCTAAACTCCCTAAACTCCCTAAACTCCCTAAACACCCTAAACCCTAAACCCTAAACCCTAAACTCTAAACCCTAAACCCTAAACCCTAAACCCTAAACCTAAACCCTAAACCCTAAACCCTAAACCCTAAACCCTAAAACCTAAACCCTAAACCCTAGACACTAAACCTATCCAGTCGCGGCTTTGAGGTGAACAGCCGGGTGGCCGAGATCCGCGCGAGGCAGAGTGCGCGCAGCGGCGTGAGTTTGCGGCGCCCGCTCTGAAATGAAAGGGCTAGGGTTTAGGGTTTAGGGTTTGGGGTTTAGGGGATAGGGTTTAGGGGATAGGGTTTAGGGTTTAGGGTTTGGGGTTTAGGGTTTAGGGGTTTAGGGGTTTAGGCTTCAGGGTTTAGGGTTTAGAGTTGAGGGTTTATAAGGTCCAGGGGGTTTAGGTGTTGAGTTGACAATGCTTTAATTTGTACTTTTAGTACCCCCTAAGCCTAACCCCTGTAATCCTTGCAAAGCCATACAATTCATTTTCATGGCCCCCCAAACCTATTTGGCTCTCAAATAGGGTTTATAGGGTCTTGGGCTTTTTTCGGGCTTAGGGGGGGCGGGGGGTTTAGGGTCTCAGGCTTTTGGGGCTTCGGCGTATTGGGTTTAGGGTTTGGGTTTAGAGTTAGGGTTTAGGGTTTAGGGTTTAGGGCTTAGGGCTTAGGGTTTAGGGTTTAATTAGGGTTTAGGGTTTGGGGTCCAGCGCTGTCGGAGTCTGTTTTGACCCAAGCCCAAGCCCTTCAACATAGATACACCATCTGAGCGCAAGATGCATGCCTGCATGCATGAGTGTATGTGTACATACATATCTCTTGTGTGTCACGTTTTCTGTTTATGCCATTGTTATCGTTCCTGGTGATGTTGGCGTCATTATTGTTGTCGTTGTTGCTATTGCTGTTGTTATCGGTTTCGTTCTTGCTATTGCTGATGTTATTGTTCTGGCTACCATTCTTTCTTGCAACCCTAAACCCTAAACCCTAAACTCTAAACCCTAAACCCTAAACCCTTGTATTTTGGGTGCAGAGGTATGTGGTTTCGAGCGACTTCGCTCGGCTGGCGAGCGACCGTACTGGGGAGCGGAACCCCACCTTCAACCGCATGAAGCAGCGTGAGCTTTGTTCAGGAAGCTTCTTTCGGCGAAAGTCCACCCTAAACCCTAAACCCTAAACCCTAAACCCTAAACCCTAAACCCTAAACCCTAAACCCCAAACCCTAAACCCTGCCTAAACCCTAAACCCTGAGACCTGGTCGGTTTAGGGGTGATCCCCTGGTTCATCCTACACGGCTGATAGCCAGTTTCCGACGCCTTTTTTTGTACTCCATAACCTAAACCCTAAACCCTGAACCCTAAACCCTAAACCCTAAACCCTGAAACTTACTTCCCTAAACCG